GTGACCGTGTGAGTCTCGGATAACAAAGGGGAGCAACGTGGCGTGCCCCTCGCCGCTGCCAGCCCTGAGGCTGTTGCACTCCGGTTTGTTTAATCTCACGGCTTCGGCTCAGCCTCTGGGCTTTGTGTTCCTGTGCCTTGTGCTCCTCTCTGTCTGCGCCCGTCGTCACCGCTTCATTCCTGTCGTTTTTTATCATCCTTTGCAGGTGCAGCCGCTGTGCCGGGGTCCTGAGCGATGCTGGCCTCGCAACAGAACCAGAACAACTGGGGGAAGAGGGAAAACACGGCGCTAAAAGAAGCATAAACTGGTGTGGAGCAACTCTTGGAAACTTTCTGTTAGCGCAGAGCAGGAGAATTGGTTTTTACCCGGGCTCCTTCTCTGTGGTTATTGTGATAAACCGTACTAGTATAAAAATGGATAGACAGTTGTTCCTTTAAAAACTTTATTGTTGCGACTTAACATGTTAGCACGTGCCTGGAGCTTGTTCTGGCTGCAGAGACATAAATATATCATTTCAAATTATCTTAAAGGCAGTTAAAATGAGCAAATTGGTGGTTGGTCAGAGGAGAAGGTGTAAAAATGTCACTTGTTAATACAACTCACTCGAAGGGTATCGATGTGGTTGTTCACAATAACGTATCTGAAGTGTGAACGCTTCAGATGAGCTGTGTCACTCCTGGTTCTGTGCGAGCTCGGCTTGTGTGTGGCTGTGCTTCATGGCACGTCATTCACAGGCTTGTGAACATCGTCATTGCTGTGAAGAAACTTGCTAGAAAAACTTGGAACACAACTTGAGGTTTTCATTCAGTACTGTTTGCATTGCCCTGGAAAGCATCCTAAAGGAAATGCTGTGCAGAAGTTGTGTGGAAACATGGATTTCGTCTAATTAGAAATTAACTAAAAATGCTTCAGTCTTTTTTTACTAGTAAGGAGAACTGCTGGCTCTTTATCAGTCAAGAAACAGTTTAATTACAACTTAAGTTCTTAACAAATGAGCAACTGTCTTGTGTCTGCTGCACTAAATTTAGTTTACTAAAATCTGAGTGTTTCTGACTAACATAATTATTTGGAGAACAGTCATTTAGTGTGACTTGTGTATTCTCTTTCTTATTTAAAGATGAAGACTTCTGCAATGAGTAAACGTAAGTCAAAGGAGAGCAGTGGAGCAAACAGAGAATGCATTTCACAGGTCAGTAACGTCTTGATTAGCTGACTTTGTTTTTAAGTGAGGAAGCTTTTCCATCCTCTGACATCCATGTCATAGAATCACAGACTGGTTTGGGTTGGGAGGGACCTTAAAGCTCATCCAGTTCCAACCCCCCTGCCAGCAGCAGGGACACCTTCCACTAGACCAGGTTGCTCAAAGCCTCATCCAACCTGGCCTTCAACACTTCCAGGGAGGAGCAGCCACAGCTTCTCTGGCCAACCTGGGACACTGTCTCACCACCCTCACAGCCAAGAACTTCTTCCTAATCCTATGTCATTCGATAGTTTTTTACTAGACCACTTACAAAGGCACCTGCAGATACTTGATGTAATTTCTAGGGCTGTGGATGGTTTTTTGTGTTTATGTTCTGTATTTATTTCAGATTCTTCCCTTGCTCCGAGTGTTATAATATTGACCTACTTTTTGGAGTCTTAATAAAAAATGGTAAAGGATGGTCTTGGGCACTTACAGCCCTTTGTGGCGACAGATTTGCATATAAATCTATTTTTATCTAATCAGATTCTTTATCTTCCTCTTTGTCGGGTGAATCAGAATCTAGGGGATTTTTTTTTTAACAGCTTAGGTTAGGCAAGGCAGCAGCTCCTGAATCAGTTTGGGGGTTTTTTTGAGTTTTTAAGCTTTATTCTCATGTTTTCTCAAAGTGGCTACTTAAAACCTGATGCATCTTGTAGTGAATTACCTCTGGTCCAGTAATTTCTTATATTTTAATATCTTCCCTTTATTTACTTTTATTTCCTTATTACTTTATTTCCTTAAATTTACCTTCCATTTATTTAATATCTTCCCCTTATTTATAAAATCCCTTTACAAGAGGGAAACCTCTTCATTTGTGAATGGACAGTGCTGACTGTTCAGATAGATTATTCATTAAAACGGAATGAATATGGAAATTAAATCAGTCAGACTTGAGTAGAAGAAAAAGTAACTGAAAAATCAGGTAGACAAGTACAGCTCATATTAAAAAAGAATTTGTTTCCTAAAGTGGAATTATTAGTAAAACAGATTTCTGTTGTTCTTCTATCCATTGTTTATATTTCACAAAGATGTGTTTATTTTTAAATTTTAAATGAAACGCCTAGAGCTGCTGCTAATAATTCCATCATAAATCAGACATTAGCTAAGTGTTAGAAGAAAATATATTTTCAAGAGGCTAAAAGCCTGTTAGTAACATCCCTCTTGAATTGGACACCAAGCATTGTAAAAGAATGGAGTGTGCAGGTGTTTTGGGGTGACTTAAATGAGGGACAGGGAGAAGTGGCTGTATAGAGTCCTGTAAATTCTTAAAAACTGGGATTGTCCCATTTTCTTGCCACTAGTCAAGTTGTAGGAGGAAATCTACGATGATGCTGAAGTCTGGCTGTTTGGGGATTGAGGATACAATTTGAAGTGACAGTTCTTAATGTGCAAAACAGAAGTCAGGGCAATTACATCTCTAAAGAAAGCCCCAGCAATGCCTACAAATTAATAGTTAAAATAAGTGTATTTGCTGTGCAATTTGAAGGGCTTCAGGACTTTACCTCATGATCAGGCTGCTCGGGTTTAATTCCATCCTCTGTAAGCAAGGCATTAGCTTCAGCTTCCTACTGCTTCCTGCCCCCATGCCAGACTTGCAGGAACAAAGTATCTGAACTGAATCTTCAGAGAAACTGTGAATTTGATGCTTTCTCCTGTTTGCGGGTGATAGGCTGAAAGGTTGTTGCGAGGGTTGCAGTAAGTGTATTCCTGACGATTTCGGGGAGTAATTAAGTGGATTACTTTTTATTTAAATCAGCTGCTGTTACGCAATGAGTTAGAACTATGAATTAGATAAGCTACTGAGGTAATTTTGGTGAGAGTGTACCAGCCCTTGGAGGATGAAGGAGAGAAACTGTAGCAGAAGGGACCAAAGTCATGTTGCTGTTGTTGAATTGAATTTGCTCTTTTCTGCTACAAAAGAGTCAGTTAGATATTCTGCTTATTGCAACTTTATTCCAACTTTCAAAGCCCCTGTGTCATTGATGGCAATTAAAATGTAGATGTTACAGAGTAACAGAAACGTGCATGTTTTACCATGATTTTATTGCAGTAGTTACATTCTTGGTACGTTCTGGTGTTTGAAGCACCAAGAACTTTTTCTGTCTTGTTTTATATCCGTAGGTGCAAAAAATTTTACGTGAAAGATTCTGTCACCATTATGCTACTGGCAAACTGTTTGGGGTTGAACAGCAGTACAGGTGAGTGAGCAGACTCAAATAGGAAGATATTTCCACTTTAACCTCAGGTTAATGTAGAAAATAATCAGGTGAAGTCAGAATTTTCCTATACCTCTATTTTTTTCTCATTTATACAGGTTTAAATGAATTGCAGTACGATGTTTCTAAAAATTGTCTCAGATTTTGAGAGTTTTTTTAATACAACTGTTGCTTGCTGCTTTGTCAGGCTCTGGGTTCTGGATTTCTTGTCCTTGTTTCAAATCTGTAGTTCCTGAAACACTTTAAGCCTGAAAGATACTTCAGTGCATACTCTAAGGCTATGTTTAATGACCTGACCAAGCAAAAAGTTAAATTCTCTTGCTGTGAATCTTTATTTTTACTTCAGTTTTTCCCCTGTTTATTGGTAAGCTGTGTTAAAAGTAAATCTTAAACCTTGGATGCCAACACCATGTTTCTTGAAGTAGAGACCTGTATTTAAAACAAGCCTGCTTCTTGGGATCACCTGATGCAGAGGTTAAATTTAGGAAGAAGGGACCTGCTGTGACAATAATTCTGTCCTAATACTAATTCTTTTACAGATGCAGGTCAAATTCTGAAGATATCTAAAGAACTTGTTTTAAACAACCAGGTTTTCCAAGACTTTATGCAAGTTGAATCACCTGATTTGAGTGTTAGGAAGGAAAATACAGGAAGGAAAATAACATTTCTGTTATTCAAACAAGTGTGTTATAATATAGATGCAGAGCTCACACAGCCATGCTTTTTGTTGTCATGAGGAAATGTGTTTCTATGGTGTTAGTATCCTACAAACAAACCTCCCCTCTTTACGTTGCAACTCTGAAAACCAGTTTGCAGGCTGCCTTCTACTTAATATGCCCCTGTTGGTGAATTATACTGGGCAGAAAATGTAATGAGCTTCCCAACTCTTAGTTTTTCTTCCCCAAGATGTATCAGAGCTCTCATATAGGGAACAAAACCCCATGTGTTTGCTAAGCTCTCCTGTGATTGTTCTATCACTCTTTTGGAAGTGATTAATGATGTCAATAAGTTAAAAAAAAAAAAAGAAAAAAGCATTTTAAATGTATGTGTTTGTAAACATTTAGGGATTGGAAGTGCCAGTATTTTTATAAGTACTTTAACTGTGGTACGAGGTGACAAGTCTATCTGAAGATAGCTTAGAGTTATTCTTCATTCCTCCTTTTGGGTAGGAATAGAATATGAGCTTGAATTTCAGTATCACTGTTACCATTCCCATGCTTTGAATGCTCAAATTGAGCTTATCATCAGTTTTATCAAGATTGTCAAAATGAATACATTCCACTAAATTATTAATTTTTTTACTGGTGTCAAGGTTTTCCTTCAGTGTGTTTGCTGGTCTTTCTTTTCTGTGAGCTATAGTGGTATCACAGAAAGCAATCTTCTTCTTTTTTTTAAAGAAAGAAATAATTATTGAAGTCTGTCCTTTCATGGTGGAGAATTGTAGAACTTTATGAATTAGTGATATTCCTGATGTCTGCACGTTTTAATATTTTAAAACATTTTAAGAGATCTAATCACTCAGCCTTTTGTACTTTATTGTATGACATTTTTGCATACCCTGAGTGTTGGCTCTGAGAGCAAGTTGAAGTGTATCAAGTTTTCCCTGATGTTCTAAAGATTCTTTGAATTTTCCATGGTTTCAGTGAATGTTGTCTGAAGTTTTTAACCTCTTGCTGTTGTCAACACAGACATCTGCTGGAACTGCTGAAACGAACTACAGTTCACGGAGAAAGTAATTCTGCCCTCATTATTGGACCCCGAGGATCAGGAAAGACTACGGTATACACATTTATTATTAAAAGTTTATACAAGGTCAAGTTAAGCAGGAGAGAACCTCACTGGAGTCCTGGGAGCTTTTGGAGCTAAATTTTCATCTCTGCCCGTTTTTAAAGAGAGAGTTGCTAACTGTTTTCATAGAATTACAAAAGATTTCAGGACTTCTTGTGAGTTCATTAAATAACAATATGGAGAAACTGGTTTCCTTACAACCTTCTGAAATTTTTCAATTCCTGGGGATTTTGTAACATAGAAGAGCTGAGACATGTAGCTGACAAAAACATGTGCCTGTCCATCCTCGCAGTGACTTGCAGAAGTCATGACTGGTGGTTTTGGAATTCTTTGCCTGTGTTCACCAGGTTTCATGACACCTTACAGGTACCCAGAACGTGTAAAATGAAATACTTTTTTCAGAACAGGTTGCATTTATCATTCAGTGATCTGTGTCGTAGATTCTGCCTCCTTTCAGCGTTTTTCTGACTACAATTCTGGGGTGGTTCTTGCCACAGAGGAGTTCCTCTTTGCAATTAAAGCCACGTTTTGTTTACCCTTTAAAAGTTAATCTGCTGTTGCTATTGGGCTAAAAATGACTGAAAAGGCATCCAAAAATTGGAAAAGGAGCAGCCTAGGGGGTAGATTTCTACAGAGCTGCTTATGTAGAGAGAATAGTAAGATATCCTAATCCTATTTTAAATGTGTCAGAGAATATTGTTACCTAAATTGCTAGGAAGCAGAATATTGTATGGTGGTTCTACTTTACAGGTGTAGGTTTTGTATTTTAAAGGAGCTCTTTTTAGTTGAGGCGTGTGAATGGGGATATCATCTAACTTAAGTGTTTGCTTAATATTAAAGTGTAAAACACTTAAGTCTTTCATGTTTACACGAGTGTATGATATGATAAATAAGTTGGCTGGTACTGCAAAAAGTATCCAAGATAAAAAAAAAAATTACAAAAATTACTTTGGAAGTCTTTCCAAGTGCTAAAGGAGGTGGGTTTCAAGCTTTTAAATATAGTTGGATAGAAATAAATTAAGAGATGGGAAACAAATCCATGATACAGCTGACACCAATCATTCTGCCAGTTTATTGATAACAAATATACATTTATATTTCTTATATAAATATACATGTATATTTGTTATCAACAAACATAGGTTTCTTGGTTTGCTTTTCAGTCACAGTCAGTATTGTTACCTTCTTCTGTTACCCAAGATGCTTCAGAAGGAGGATAATTGCCCAAATACTGTGTGGAGCAGGGGGAAGAGTTGATAAATCAGTGGCAAATAAGGATTCCTCCATCTCTGTGCTTCCTGCTAGTCTTGAACCAGAGTTTATTTTTCCTTTCCTAGATTTATGGATTGTAAATAAGCAGCAAGCTCTCTCATAGTGCAGGAAATTGTTTTTAGATTCTCTTGTATTTGCAATGTAAACTTTCAAGGTTCAATTGAGATTGTTGGATAAGGGGCTAGCCAGAAAGGATGGCATCTGCTTGTTGGGCATAAACTTGAGAAATGAAAAGGATAAACTGTTTTTTGTTGTTGCAAATATCCATATAGCACCATTAGTAGGAGTGTAACTATATCTGCTTCTAAATACAGTGTCAATCAAAAAGCACGGATGAGCTCTGTGCTGCAACAAATTGGAGTAAATGGGAAAGTTTAAAACCAAAAAACCCCACAAGAGAACGAGTCCTCAAACACCACGTGCCCCCTCAATCACCAAAACTCCAACTATTTTTATTATTTAATTAAAGACCAAATTTACTTCCAAACCTTTTACATAAGGATAGTGAAGATGAAAAAATTTGTGATCCTTACTGACAGAATATAAGTAAGAAAATCATATATGGGAAATGAATAATTTTCTTACTCTGCATCAAGTGCAAGATGCCAGTTAGGGGGCCTACAAGAAAGCTGGGGAAGGACTTTTCCTAAGGGCAGTTAATGACAAAACAAGGGGAAATGGGTTTAAGCTGAAAGAGGGGAGGTTTAGATGAGATATTAGGAAGGAGTTCTCCACTGTGAGGGTGGTCAGACACTGGAACAGGTTGCCCAAGGAAGCTGTGGCTGCTCCTCCCTGGAAGTGTTCTCGGCCAGGTTGGATGAGGCTTTGAGCAACCTGGTCTAGTGGAAGGTGTCCCTGCTGATGGCAGGGGGGTTGGAACTGGATGAGCTTTAAGGTGCCTTCCAATCCAAACCAGTCTGTGATTCTCAAAAAAGACTACCAGCAAATTGTGTGTGTGTATATTTGTGTGTATATGTGTGTGTGTGTATATGTGCGTGTGTGTCTACACATAGATGGCAGCTGCAAATTCTCAGCTGAGAAAACAAAAGCAAAGAAGTGGCAAGTGAATGAAAAGTTTCAACCTTTCATCTACTTTTATGCATTTTAATCAAAATTTCTCACGACTTTTACCAAGCACAAGTTCTTAATGCACTGTAAATGTGGGACCTCTAAGTTTGAGAAGCAATAGTTGATGTAGTTACCTGCAATTTAGTTTTGTCTCATGCTTCCTACCTTCCAGAGCAAAAGAATAAGCATAGTGTCTTTAAAGATTCAAAGCAGAGATTTTTGTTCTGGGGCATCTAATGAAGCTGAATACTGCACTCACTCAAGAGAAGGTTCTGTCATATCTCGGACTCTTTAAAGCTCATTTTGATTAAAGCAAAAGACGTAGATATTACCCCAGAAATGTAGTGACTGAAATACTGGAGTTCTTTTTGTATTTCTTTAATTCAGCAGAATGAACAAGTGTAGTTGCTACAGTTATGATAGTGAATGTGAAATTGTCATGTTAGTGTTTTTTTCTTCAAAATACTCAAAAACTCTGTTACCTAGAGAAGCTGCACATAGTTTCTTATCTGATAATAGCCACTTGTACACTTTTCTCACTGTTAATCCATTAATCTTGTAAATAAATTGTGTATTTTTTTCCTAGTTATTAAAACATGTCTTAAAAGAGGTCAAGGAAATGAAACAAGTTAGAGAGAACCTCTTGGAAGTTCATCTGAATGGCAAGTAATACAGCATTGTTCAAATGTTATTGAAACATTCAATTGTTGTGTATTGTATGTACTGAACAACAGTTTTGGCTTCAGCAGTTGAAATCAAGCTGTGATTATGGACACATTTACCTATGAGCTCCAAAACACCTTTCTTCATGTCTATATAAAGAGAACTTCTGTGCTTTTTAACAACTTTTTTAACATTTTGACATTTTTTAACATTCAGTTCAGTTGTAAATGAGCTCTTAAGTAACTTATTACATACAGAAAATTACGGTCTAGTATTAATTTTTCAAAAGCATGGATATAGAGAGAAGCTTCTGGCTGAGTTTCTAGTGGCTGTGAATGTGGCCTCCTGAAGTGAAGGAAAACTGCCAGTTCTTCATGAAACAATCCTTTTCTTTCAGGCCTTCTACAGACTAATGATAAAACAGCCCTGAAGGAGATCACCAGACAGTTGCACCTGGAAAACGTGGTTGGGGATAAAGTTTTTGTAAGTATCAGCTTTATTATATTCTTCCCTTATCTCCCTCAAAAACCCTTGTCTAGAAAACCAGCTTTAGAGAATGCAGCTTGCAGAGGCTGAAAGGGCTTTGAGAGTTTGTTAGGGAAATTATGATGGGCTGTCTGCGTTTGCTCAAAGCTTTGTCTTTTACAGTATTGAATAATTGGTGACAGTAGTGAACTGTGGCACTATTTACCTGTGAAGACCCTGGCTTCCAGACACTTCAAGCATGCCAATAAATACTTGTGTTCCACACAAGTGCTGAACGTGACATTTTGCTAGTTGAGCAATATTAATGCTTCTTCAATGGATACGTCTTCAAAAAACAGCAACTTTGACTTGGGGAAGGAGGAAGAATGCAAAAGCTCTCTTAAAAATTTACTTCAAGCCTCAAAACGAAACAGACATTAAGCATTCCAAAGTGACTTTGTTCAGAGGGGTAGAGTATTTCGGAAACATCCACTTTCACGTTTCAAGAAACAGATTAAGCAAGTTTATCAGCCAAAAAGCAGGATCTTCAGTATATTTGCAGTCTTTTTTAATTCACAGGGAAATGTCTCCAGGCTCCTCAGAGCCTTTCACTTTGCCTAGAATTTCTAGAAAAATATTTGCTTCTATCGACCTTTTCTCAAAGATAACTCACATGAGTACTAAAGTCAGTCATAAAGAGAATAACTGATGTGCTCCAGGTTAAATTTCACTTATTTGAGTGTGAAATAACTCGGGCTGGTGATCTCAGCTACCCTGGTTGTTACCTGTTAGTCAGTGAGCGTTCTTGAGAGGCCATCTCCTGCTACCACAGAAGGTCCTTGTGAGCATCATCTTCCCTTTTGCTCCCAGACAGGTCCTTGGAGATGGGCAGGATTTACATAGTTGTGGGTCATGTGTCATGCCAATCCAAGTGCCTAAAGCGGGATTAAGAGAGGGGAGAAAGGTGCAATCTCAATAGATAAGGTTTATTTTCATCAGTTGCATTTGGGAAGCGAAGGAGATAAAAGATGTTACTGCTTTAGTTAAGAGAAACCAGAGAAGAAGGTTAGAGGCAGTGTGGAATGCAAGATGAAGTGCAGATTGTAGTGAGTAGGTTTTATTATCCTTTGGAAATGCTTGCTGCTTAGGCTCTGCTTTGCTTTCTTACTTGTCCCAAATAATTTTAGTTACAGAGAATGGGAAACCTTTCTGGTGGTGAGCCAAGCTAAAATTTCCCCAAATACAGCTGCAGTAATAAAAGGAAATAGCAAGTATTTAATTTCAGTGTAGCCATTTAAATGAGTTGTCTTTTCAATAGAGAATTAGAATAACCTTCCAAGGTCCACTACCAAAAATGCTGGAGGCAAAACTGAACTTAAATATCCTTAATTCCCCTATAATTTTCCCCATTAAATTACTGTGGAGTACTACTTTAAACTCTTAACCATCTGATTGCACACGGGCATGGGAACACACTGATTTACAGGAATGTCCTTCTCTCCATAGAAACTTTTCCTTTCTTAGCTTCTGCAACTCACTTTCAGAGAGAAAATTGGCTTTTCTACCTTATTTGATAGGGCTTGTGGCCTTTACTGAGGAGTTATTTCCCCTCTCACAACGTGAGTGTGTAAATGTGTGTGTGTAACTGAAGCAGGATGCTCGTGGCGGTTCGTTGTGTTCTTTTATGAATGGTTGATGCTCTCATCTAACGAGGTGGCAAATTAAAGAAGCTCCCTACTGATTGTTCTCGGTGGAACACGTTAGGTGGCAGTTTGTGCCTGTGTGTAGATGGAAAATGAGGATGTAGATGTTATTTAAGGGAAGATTCTTGTAAATTTAGCCTGTTGTAGACATTCTGATCACTAATTTTGGTCCGAGGCAATTAGTTTGAGATTTTCAGACTGAATGGAGTGGATCAATGTGGGGTTTACTGTCAGTTTGCTTGTCCTGAGGGGGTTATGATTATACAACATGAAAATGTAAATTTTTGAGTATGCACTGGCTTTGAAATCAGGTTTTCAGACGGAAATGACCTTCCTTACATGCCTGAACTTGATGTAGTTACACAATTCTGAGAATGACACTGAAAATCGATCGTGAAACTTGACTTTCTTCTCTGTGTAGGGCAGCTTTGCTGAAAATCTTGCCTTCCTTCTCGAAGCTTTAAGGAAAGGTAAACGCTCCTGAAACTGTGTGTGTGTGTGTGTGTGTGTGTGTGTGTGTGTCACTTGACTGAAAAGTTAGCATGGACATGCTTTTCCATCTTCTTGTACAAGTGGTTTGAAGAAATCTAGCTCAAGAATCATAGACTGGTTTGGGGTGGAAGGGACCTTAAAGCTCATCCAGTTCCAACCCCCCTGCCAGCAGCAGGGACACCTTCCACTAGACCAGGTTGCTCAAAGCCTCATCCAGCCTGGCCTTCAACACTTCCAGGGAGGAGCAGCCACAACTCCCTTGGGCAACCTGTTCCAGTGTCTCACCACCCTCACAGTGAAGAACTTCTTCCTAATATCTAATCTAAACCTCCCCTCTTTCAGTTTAAACCCATTTCCCCTTGTTTTGTCATTAACTGCCCTTATGAAAAGTCCTTCCCCAGCTTTCTTGTAGCCCCTTCAGGTATTGAAAGGCTGCTGTATGTGTCATGATTATTAAATTAATGTAGAAAATAAGTAATACCAAACATATACCTAAAATAACTGATGCTGTAAGGCTTGCATGAGGTGGTCAGCTATGCAGGACAGATCCTTTTATCCAGATTGAATTATTTTAATTATTGAATTATTTGAATTGATTATTTTTAATCACAATTATTTGAATTATTATTTTTATTATTATTATTATTTTTAAATTTGCCATAGAAGTCTGTTTTCCCTTGCAACCAGAAACGATGTTTGACAGAATACCACAAAACTTTACCCATTTTTCAGTGTATTTTTCCTTTTGCTGTTGTAGCAGCGCATGTGTGAAAGGAGAACTCAGTGAAAAGCTAAAAGAAAATATGTCAATTGTTAAAGGCAGAAAATGTGAAAGCTGTAGAGATGGATGTCTGGTGATGGATGGTGTTACCCTACTAACTTTTAAAATTGCTGTCTCAGGAGATCGAACTAGCAGCTGTCCAGTCTTGTTTATCCTGGATGAATTTGACTTGTTTGTTCATCACAAGAATCAGACGCTGCTCTATAACCTCTTCGATGTATCCCAGTCAGCACAGACTCCAGTGACAGTTATTGGACTCACATGTAGACAGGTAAGAAATTGTGCTTTCTTCTTCTTCAAAGTTTTTAAGCTGTTTTTAAAGAGAATATAGTCTTAGTTGGAATGTTTTCTCTTCTCCTCTCCTGAAACCTTCTGTAATTTACTAAGAGACTGTTCTCAATTATCCATTTTTCATAGAATCATGGAATGGTTTGGATTGGAAGGGACCTTAAAGCTCATCCAGTCCCAACCCCCCTGCCAGCAGCAGGGACACCTTCCACTAGACCAGGTTGCTCAAAGCCTCATCCAGCCTGGCCTTCAACACTTCCAGGGAGGAGCATCTACAACTTCCTTGGGCAACCTGTTCCAGTGTCTGACCACCCTCACAGTGAAGAACTTCTTCCTAATATCTCATCTAAACCTCCCCTCTTTCAGCTTAAACCCATTTCCCCTTGTTTTGTCATTAATTGCCCTTATGAAAAGTCCCTCCCCAGCTTTCTTGTAGCCCCTTCAGGTACTGGGAGGCCGCTATAAGATCTCCCTGGAGCCTTCTCTTCTCCAGGCTGAACAGCCCCAACTCTCTCAGCCTGTCCTCACAGCAGAGCTGCTCCAGCCCTTGCATCATCCTGGTGGCCTCCTCTGGACTTGTTCCAGCTGCTCCAGGACTTTTGAATTGAGAAGGAGGATAGGAGAGATTAAAAAAAAAATAATAATTGTGCTGAGAGCAAATTACATGACCAAAAACTGCAAAGCTTTCAGTTTTACTGCTCGAGGAGCAGGTTTACATTGCTAAGGAGATGCACAACTGTTGTCCTGTAACACCAAAGAGCCGTGTTTATCTGTGTGGCTGTTTTATATTGTACTGTCACTCACTCTTTGGAGAAGCTCCTGGGCATTTCAGTTTCCTAGTCAGCAGTTGGCAGGAACAGACTTGTATTAACCTACAGTGTTTAAATCCTTCTTCTGAGGACAAGGAATTATTTTTTAAGCAAAGACTTCAGTAGGGCACTTCTGCTATAAAAACAGCATATTCCAAATTAATTTAGGATCCCTGTTAAAGTTGCTGTGATTTTGATGATGACATTTTAGGGAACTGTGGACAGATTGTGTGTATCCTGTGAAATAATTACTTTCTAACACTGTGGAAGCTGATACTTTATAAAAATTATACTGTTTTTCTCAATAAACTGGATTGGTGGTGAAGATAGCCAGGTTATGACAAGAAGAATAATAATAGTTAAAATATTGCATCAAAGCCTGAATCTAGGGTTGATTTGGTTTAGGTGATATTTAGCTGTGCAAATTTCTGGAAGTTAATAGAATAATTAATAGTTGTTTTAGCAAATTCCAATCTTTTCTTTAGCTTCATTACTGTCCTGAGTCTGGAATCCTCATCATCCTGTTGTACGTGACTTCTGAATCAAAGGGAGTCTTTATATTTTGCACTGTTGGTTCCCTGTTTACTCTCATCACTATTTTTGATGAGGAATTTCACTGTTCTTAAAGCCTTTTTTTTTAAGTAAAAAAACACCAAAAGCAACACACAACAAACCCTTAAAAAAAAAAAAAGGAGCACTCAAAATTCCTAGAAACTGGGAATTGTAACCATTCTGTCCCAGTGTGAGGGAGGGGAATAGGACTGTGTTCCTCTAGATGGATGAATCCCACAGCTTGTTTCTGATGCCACTCTATCGCTGTGTGTTCTGAGAGAACCCAGCTTTTCTCTATTATCTCCAACCAACAACCTGATGGCAGACTTGCTTAATTCTGTGACGACCTTAAAAGATAAATATTGGCTCTTAAATTGTTGGGTTTTGGGGTTTTTTTGAAGCTGGATTCTTTCAGTCTGACAAAAGGCGTGTGACTGACAGCCACCAACCTCCGTACCTGCTAAACAGACAGCTTGTCTGGAGCCCTGATAGGCTGCAACATCTCGAACACAGACTTGAGGAGCTGCAATATTTACATCATCTATGGAGAAATTTTGCTGGGTGTCCTAGCAACTCATTATCCTGGGTGATGTAGAGCATCACCTGATTTGGGCAAATGGCTAGTTGTTAGGTAATAATTAGCAAAGGTCTTGTTAGAACATTTTAAGCCTGAGAATTTAATAATTCTTTTGTTTTTTTTCAATCAAATTTACTTTGATAATTTCTCTTGCAGTTTTCACTGTAGCAAAGAATGTGCTTAATGCATCTACCTTTTTAATTATTATTTTTACTTTTTTTAACAAGGATATCCTGGAGCTCTTGGAGAAGAGAGTAAAATCAAGGTTCTCTCACCGACAGATATATTTGATGAATTCCTTTGATTTTAAACAATACATTAGGATATTCAAGGAGAAGCTTTCTCTCCCTGCTAAATTTCCTGACGAGTCTTTTGCTCAAAAATGGAATAACAATGTTCAGGTATTTAAAGTTCTTCATACTTTATTTTAGTAGAACTTTTAAAGTAAGACCAGTTTATCAGTGTAAAGTTTTTACTTAAGATTAGTATTTCCTTTCACTATTTGAGTTTGATAGGGAATAAGTCAAATTGTGATAGAGAATCTTTGCTTATTGAAGCCTGGAGATAAAATTATAAGTGCTACAAAAAAGACCAGGAAGTTAAAGTTGGATGTGAAGAATTGTATTTTCAAGTGTTCTGGAGATAAAATTGTAAGTGCTACAAAAAAGACCAGAGAGTTGGATGTGAAGAATTGTATTTTCAAGTGTAAACTGAGCTCGTTCTGAAGGTTGGCTAACTTAGTTTTTCAGGTGAGTATGAAATGATTTGCTGAGATGATTAAAATATTACTTAAAATTTATTTTTTAGTATCTCTCAGAAGATAAATCTGTGCAAGACACGCTGCAGAACCTTTTCCACTACACCAAAGATCTGCGCTCGCTTCATTTGCTGTTGGTGTGTATTTGCATATGTATCTAATAATCTGTAAACAACATTTGTGTTTTCCAAGCCTGTTATCTGAGCTTCTCTTGAAACATCTTTTTATTGAGTGGGCTTTTGACAGTACTGGTTTCTTGCAGTGTGTGCTTTATTAATGAATTTGAGTAGTTCCAGTTTCTGTAGCAGTTACATTGTGAGGCTGTGCTATTTAATTAAAATGGTGCTGGGCTTTTGGTATTTAAAATTTGCCAAGGCTTTCCATTCCTCAAGCAAAACTGTAGGTGAAGTGCTTTCAAAATATTCTTTCCTTTCTGAGTTTCTTTTTGGTTGCTGGTGAATCCTGAAAACTGCTTGTACTAGAAGCTACTTTTTCTACCTTTAAGTCTGTTGTTGCAGACAAATATTCCTCCATTCCTTCTCTTCCACTAAATCTGTCACTATATTAAACCTGCTTCTCTTCATCAGTGTCTTGTCTTCCTCAGAGATCAATACATTTTGGTGCCATTTTTTTTAGTCTGGTCTTTTACTGTGTTCTTAAATCATCTTATGTTCTCTGCTTTGTCCTCCTCCTGACACTGGTGGGGTTTGTCTGTGCTCCTGGCCTCAGTTCCTCATTTGGAATGACCGTCACTCAGGGCTAAAATATTTGTTGTTGTCAACAAATATTGACAACAGCAAGGTTAATAACCTTCTTCCTTCTTCTTCCTAAACGGATGCTCTTGCCATGATGCTCCTGAGCACAGATTACGTGTGTTTATGGATGATTTGCTCCTGGATTCCTCCTCAGTAAGAGAGTTCCCATATATCCACAGTCTTGTTATTCCTGCAGAGGAAATGCTTTTGTTTTCTTTTATCACTCCCAATTTTTTCTTGTGCAGAATATCAGATAAAGTCACTTTATGAACTGTATGATTAGGCACCACTTTGTTTTCCAGAGCTGGTTTCATATATTCAGGTAACCCAGATGATGTCCCAGATTCGTCTGTTACTGTGACACTAGTCCAGGAGATGTGATCTTAACCTTTTAAATCTTGAAGTGCTGGAAAGTTGAGGCTACTAATGCCTAAAAATACTGAGACAGAAGTTAATTCTGATCTTCCAAATGACCATGTTGTCTGGCATCAAGGGCCTGAGGAACCTTTCAGAATTTTACTTGGTAGCTTCAACCTTTCCCAGTTATCTCAGGGGAGAGAAGGAAGGCTGTGAGGAGAAACAATGAGACTGCTGCCTCCCTCTTCACTCTGAGAAAGGCAAGACTTCTGTATTCAGTAAGCAGGAAGTAATGCTGACAGTGAACTTCCTCCTGTCACAGCAAATGAGATGAAGTTTAATGTGTGGTCAGGCTTTGGAAGGTTTTGTTTGGTTAGTTTTTTTAAATTTATTTATTTTTTAGTCTGCCTCCCTCACTCCTGTGGTTTAACATAGTTAATATGAATGCAATAACATTAATTATAGAAGATAAGTAAACTTATTTTAACCATCTTCAAACATCCCTGTGCTTCAGTCAGTGTGAGAAGCCTGTGAACTGCTGAACGTACCTGCTTACCTCGTGTTGTGCAACTATTCAGATTTTAACCTCCAGCTCTGTGGTGGGATATTCCTGGGCTCTTTAGTGCTGACAGCTTTTCCCAACACTTGAGTTTATAGCTGCTCTGAAAACTAGATCACAGACTTCCTGCTCTAGTTGTGAAGCACAGGGTGTAATCAGAGCCCTCTTTTTGGTAGTCCTCTGTTTACTTGAGTTCACTACAAGATTGCAGATGATTTTTAGTTTAGGGACACCCAATTCTGTCTCTTGAACAATGTCAGAGGAAGCTCAGGGCTGTTTGAATAGTGTCCCTTTGAGCTCCAAGGTGTGTCAGAGCTGAGGCTGAAGTTCCTAATTGTTTTCTTCAGCAAGTTCTGAATTTTTTCCTTTAGAAAGAGGCTTTTTCACTCTGTGAAGTCATCTTACTCATAGAAGTCCATTATACAGATTCTAGTGCTTCTCTAATTCCTTTGTATTAGCTGAAGTCTGGATTAAATACAGATACTGCCGTGTTCCCTGTACTTCTTTCCATTTTGCATGTCTGTCAGGGACTTGGGGCTGTCATTTCTTCACTCCTTCGCTTCTTCCCTATCCAAATTCCCTTTAGCCTTTAGAGTATGACGCTTTATTCCATACCTGTGGAAATCTGAACCATCATGCAGCTTTTTGAGGCTGTTTAAGAAGTGAAAGAGGACTGGAAAAGACTGGTGGTAGATAGAATTGGATGTTCTCAGTGAAAAACCTCAATTAAACGGATGCAATAAATAGTTTTTCATCACACAGACCTGCAAAAGTCACAGGTAGTCACTAAAACCCATTTTTTTTCTGTTGATGAATGTAAAACTGCAAATATTCACAAGGGAAATAGTTAAAGCCCTGAAGAGCAAGTGCAGGTGACTCCAGTGCCCCCACCACTGTATAAAAGCTTGTGGATAATCAGTAGCTGTGAAAGAGCAGTGTCAGAAGGGGTCAGTTAACTCTTTATTTATTAACTAACACTTGTTCAAAACTCACTTTCTGTGGCAGGTAGGTGAAGATTAGTAAAGATTCAAATTGAAACCAGGTGAGACTTTAGCAGATTCCAAAAGGGGAACTTGTATTTGTAAACTGAGAGGCACCTTCAGACCCTTTCTTAGCACTTGGAGTGACCTGAGCGACATGTAGCTCTGTGTAAAGGTGTGTGT